GATCTAATTAAACTAAAGAGCTTCTGCACAGCAAAAGAAACTGTCATCAGAGTGAACACACAACTTACAGAATGGGGGAAAGCTTTCACAGAATAGGGGAAAGCTTTCACAATCTACCCATCTGACAAAGGTCTAATACCCAGAATCTACAAGGAACTTAAACAAATTTACAAGAAAAGAGCAAACAACCCCATCTAAAAGTGGGCAAAGGACATGAACAGACACTTCTGAAAAGAAGACATTCATGTGGCCAACAACCATATGAAAACAAGCTCAACATCACTGATCATTAGAGAAATGCAAATCAAAACCACAATGAGAAACCATCTCACACTGGTTAGAATGGCAATTATTAAAAAGTCAAGAAACAGACGCTGGTGAGGCTATGGAGAAATAGGAATGCTTTTACACTGTTGGTGGGAATATAAATTAGTTCAACCATTGTGAAAGAAAGTGTGGCGATTCCTCGAGGATCTAGAACCAGAAATAACATTTGACCCAGCAATCCTGTTACTCAGTATATACTCAAAGGAATATAAACCATTCCATTACAAAGATACATGCATGTATATATTCATTGCGGCACTATCCACAATAGCAAAGACATGGAATTAACCCAAATGCCCATCAATGATAGACTGAATATAGAGAATGTGATACATATACACAATGGAATACTATGCAGCCATAAAAAGGAATGAGATAATTTCCTTTGCAGGAACATGGGTGAAGCTGGAAGCATCATCCTCAGCAAACTGTCACAGGAACAGAAAACCAAACACCACATGTTCTCACTCCTAAGAGGGAACTGAACAATGAGAACACATGGACACAGGGAGGTGAACAACACAGACTGGAGCCTGTTAGGGAAGTGTGGGGAGGGAGTGCATCAGGATAAATAGCAAATGCATGCAGGGCTTAGTACCTAGGGGATGGGTTGGTAGGTGCAACAAACCACCATGGCACATGTTTACCTATGTAAAAGAATCTGTGCATCCAGCACATGTATCCTGGAACTTTAAAAAATGGTGTATTGTTTAATTTCCAAATATTTGATGATTTGGAAGATATCTTTCTTTCTGTTATTGATCTCTAGTTTTAATTCCATTGTTGTCTGAGCTGACGCTTTGTGTGATATCTATACTTTTAAATTTGGTAAGATGTGTTTTATGACCCAGAATGTGATCTAACTTGTTGAACATTTTGTGTGATCTAAAGAAGAAAGTATATTCTAGTGTTGTTGAATGGCATATTCCACAAATGCCAGTTACATAAAATTGATTGATATTGCATTTAGGTCAACTAAATCTTTACTGATTTTCTGCCTGCTTGATCTATCAATTGCTGAAAGATAGATGTTTAAGTCTTCACCTATAATAGTAAGTTTACCTATTTTGCCTTAAAGTTCTATCAGTTTTTGCCTCACATAGTTTGATGCTCTATTGTTAGGGTTGTTGTGACTTTTTGGATAATCATTCCCTTTATCATTTAATCATTGCCTTGTTTATATATGGCATTTTTTCTTATTCTGAAGTCTGCATTGTCTCAAATTAATTGAGTTACTTCAGCTTTCTTTGGATAAGTGTTAGCACAGTATATCTTTTTCCATCCCTTTACATTTATCCTATCAGAGTCTATATGTAAAGTAAATTTCTTGTATGCAACACATAGTTCAGTTCTGTTTGTTAATTCACTCTGACAGTGTGTGTCTTTTAATTATTATATATGGACCATTTGTCTTTAAAGTGTTTATTAATATACTTGGATTAATATCAACCACATTTTTACTGTTTATTTGTTGCCAAAAGCTGTCTTTTCTGTCTTCTTTCATTTTAATTGAGCATTTTATATAATTCCATTTTCCTATCTCTCTTAGCATATTATCTTACTTTTACAAATATTGTTAGTGGTTGTCCTGGAGTTTACAATATAAAATTTTAACAAATCTAAGTTCACCTTCAAATAAAAGTACTCCATTTCACATGTAGTACTTATTTTTCCCTTGCATCTCTTGTGACGTTGCTGTCATTCTTCTAATTATCCAGAAGATAGAAGTTGTTATTATTTAGTGACAATAAATAAGCAACAAATAGTTATCTTTTAATCAATTAAAAATGTGAAAAATAAAAGATTTAATTTTTCTTTATTTATTCTTCTCCCTTGTTCTTCTTTTTTAATGTAGACTAAAGTATCCGGCTTACATAGTTTTCTTTCTATCTAAAGACAATCTTTACACATTTTTTACATGATAGATATGCTGGCAATGAAATTCCTCAGTTTTTGTTTGATAAAATATTTTTGTTTCATTTATGAAGGACAATGTATTTTGATATAGAATTCCAGGTTTTTTTTCTTTTAGCACTTTAAATATTTTGCTTGTTACTTTAAATATTTTAATTATTGCTTGCATAGTTTCTGGTGAGAAGTCCACTGTAATTATTGTTCCTGTTCCTGTATAGGTAAAGCATTTTATTTCTTTCTGGTTACTTTCAAGATTTTCTCTTTGCATTCAGTTTTCTGCAGCTTGAATATGATATGCTGATAGATAGTTTTTGTTTTTGGAGGGAGGAAAGAGAGGATATTTATTCTTGGGGTATCTCTGAGCTTCCTTGGTCTTTGGTTTGTTGTCTATAATTAATTTTGGAAATTTCTTGGTCATTGTTACTTCAAATATTTCTTTTGTCTCATTTTCTCTTTCTTTATATTCTGACATTCTGTAATATTACATCTTTTGAAATTGTCCGGTAACTATTGGCTATTCTATTTTATTCTGTTTTGTTTGTTCGTTTTTCTTTTACATCTTGTCTTCTCTTTGCATTTTAATTCAGGAAGTTCTGCTAATGTTTCTTTAAGGTCACTGATCATTTCCTTGGGTTGAGTCTACTGATGAGCCCATCAGATAATCTTCACCATCCTTGCTCTGTTTTAGATTTCTAGCATCACCATCAATTCACCAAAATTACCATCTAAGTCAGGAATGTACAAGCTTTTGACTTCCCTGGGCCACATTGAGAGAAAAGGAATTGTATTGGGCCACACATAAAATACACTAACGATAGCTGATGAGCTTAAAACAAAAATTGCAAAAATATTTTAAGACAGTTTACAAATTTGTGTTGTGATTCATTCAAAGCCATCCTGGGCTGCATGTAGCCCATTGGGCCATGGGTTGGATAAGCTTCATCTAAGTGTTGCTGCTAGTTAGTGGTTCCAATGGCTTTTGCTGCAGATGATCTTGGCTTTGGGTTCCAGTTTGCCCTGGGACCTATGTTCTCAGATGGGTTTTTAAAAAGTCACTGATTTTCATTTTATATAACCCAATCTAAAAATCTCTGCCCTAGAAGTTTACACAAAATATACTGGAAAAAAAAAGATTAATTCAGAACTTTAGGATCTCTGTACCAGGAATTTAGGATTTAAAAACTCAGGAGTTATATAATTTTGGGGGTGAGGGGTGCACATACATCTTTCTTTTTTTAAACTGATTTAAAACTGAAATTTATCATGTCTTTCAATTATAAGCATAAGCAACAAAGCACAATGGTATTGGCAGTAGCTGTGACATTGTTACCAATGGAACTCACACGTATTTTCATATTACATTTATAGTTTTTTTCTAATAAATTAATATATCATTTATGCTGAACCCTTCGAAAAAGGGTTAGTAGACTCACAACTTGATCTTATTATTTAAAGCATTAGTGAAGATGAGGACATATAACTAAACCACGAATTTGCTTAAACATTTCTTTCACTAACTATATTTAGGTATATTCGTTTCCTTTTCAATTTGGTGTATTTTTATTTTAAAATACAAAATTATTCTGAAGAAGTATGCGAAGCAGTATAATGACCCCCAAAGATGTCCACACCCTATTCCCAGGTACCTGTAAATTTCTTAAAAGAGACTTTGGGTTTGTTGGCCTGTAAATTAGTTCAACCAGTGTTGAAGACACTGTGGAAGACAGTATGGTGATTCCTCAAGGATCTAGAACCAGAAATACCGTTTGACTCAGCAATCCCATTATTGGGTATATACCCAAAGGATTATAAATCATTCTACTATAAAGACACATGCACATATATGTTTATTGCAGCACTATTCACAAAAGCAAATACTTGGAACCAACCCAAATGCCCATCAATGATAGACTGGATAAAGAAAATGTGGCACATATACATCATGGGATATACACTATGCAGACATGAAAAAAGATTCATGAAAAAAGAGTTCATTTCCTTTGCAGGGACATGGATAAAGCTGGAAACCATCATTGTCAGCAAACTAACACAAGAACAGAAAACCAAACACTGTATGTTCTCACTCATAAGTGGGAGTTGAACAATGAGAACACATGGACACAGAGAGGGAAACATCACACACCTGGGCCTGTTGGAGGCTGGGGGCAAGGGGAGGGGTAGCATTAGGAGAAATACCTAATGTAGATGACAGGTTGATGGGTACAGCAAACCACCATGGCACGTGTATACCTATGAAACAAACCTGCATGTTCTGCACTTGTATTCCAGAACTTGAAGTATAGTAATAATAAAAAGAGAGACTTTGGGGATATGATTAAAGTTAAGGACCTTGATATGGGGAGATTATCCCAGATTATACACATGGGCTCGATCTAATCATACAAGTTCTTAAAAGTGGAAAAGAAAGGCATAATGTTGGGTCAAAAAGATGAGACATGAGTAGAACTGTACTTGTTTTTGCTGGAGTTGAAACTGCAGGCAGGTGACCATGAACCAAAGAATGCAGTGGGAAAGACCTTCAGCTACAGACAGGAAGAAAATGGGGATCTCAGTTCTACATCTGCAAGAAGTTGAAATCTGCCAGCAATCCAAATGAATAGGAAACAGATTACCTCCTAGAACCTCCAGCCTGCCTACACTTTTATTTTAGTCTGGTGTGACCTGTGCTAGACTTCTGACCTACACAACTGTAATAAACTGTTGTTTTAAGCCACTTAGTTTGTTCTACTTTGTTACAGCAGTAATACTAAACTGATATGCAAAGGATGCCCGTACTTCATCAAAATATCAAAGTTGTCCATGACAAGCAAATAACCCAGCTGTAGTTTAATTCAACATCACAGTCCCAACATGTTTTCAAAGGTAAATGTTATGGAATTAAATAATTAATGATCATTAAAACACCCCAAATTTTGGCACTGAAAATGATTCCATGTATGTTAATAAAGGCATAAAACAATTGTAATAAATTTCTACCTTATCTCTTCCAATTTGGTTCCTGAATTTTCTAACTCTATGTGCATGGCTGATTATGACAATTCAAAATCCTTTTTCTGAAAATTATGATGCATATATAAACTCGGGCACCTAACTCAAGAGTAGCTTTTAAGAAATTGATTGCCATACGCAATCAATTGAATGTAAATTTATGTCATTGAAGAATGCATATGGGTGGAAAGGTTGTACTAGCAAAATCTAATGAGGAAAATGATGTATTAGAAATACAGAAGAGTGATGGCTTGTTCTGAGTATGTCTCTTAGGTTAGAATAGATTATCTTCTGTTATAATCTCAATATCCTTTGGTAAGAGTAACTCTGAAAATGTATGTTGGTGCCAAAGCAACATCACTGTGTATTATTTATGTAAATATGTTTCTAAAGTAGTAATCAGAAGACCATGAAATTCTTTAAACATCTGTTAGAATTAGGGAGTGGTAGAAATCTAAATTAGGCTGTTGGAATATTGCAGTATTGCTACCAGATAATAGAAAGTCCATAGGCAATTATATGAAGGGACAATTCTTGAAAAACAGATTCTTGATTTTTTTCTTGGCATACACTTTCTAATTAGTTTTACTTTAGCACCTTTCTTTTTTATAGTTTGCCAAAATGTACTATCTTTTATTCACAGCTTTTGGTCCCAGGATTATTCAACCTAGCTCATAAAAGAAAACAATATTGCATTTCTAAGCATTTGTTCCTAGAATTGGCAAGTTTAGTCGAAAAAAGCTGGAATGACATTAAAACAACACCCTGTCATCTTTCAATCAGTCCTTAGCTGAAGTTAAAATCCCACTCATTCTACATGATCCAGGTAAAGATCTTCTTCCTTAAGGCACTTCACTGCTTCAGGCCTCTGTGGTTTGCTTTTTCCCTAAAAATCCTTAAATGTTTGGCACCCATAAACACTAAATTGAGTTTTCAGTATTCAATTCACTCATTCGTCCAACACTATTTGATTGTCTGCTGGATGCCAGTCACGGGGCTAAGCTCTGTAGATACAAGGATGAAAAGGACTCTGACCACATTCTTAGTATAAGAGGGAAATAAACATGAAAAGTGATAGTTACGGTAAGTCTGATAAGCATTGTCTTAAAAATTGGAAGATTATCACACATTGACAATTATAAAATTATGGAGATGTGTTCTCTCTTTAGCTGTTAGTTAAGTCCCTAAAATGCTTTATGCTTTGTCTCCCTGTATTACCATGCTGATCTGTTCATAATGCCTGTTGTTAATTAAGTCTTCTTGATAAAATGTTTTTCTCTTACTGTGCTCTTCTCTTATGTTTTTTTCCCCATTCTTTCCATTTCGTACAGTGAACAGTGAGAAGGCATTTCTTCTCAGCCCAGTACTACTACTTTGAGTTAGTAGAGGGGAGCGGTTAAAAATTCAGGCTCAGGGTAGAGATTACCTGCATTTGAATCTAGGTCCAGCCACTGGGTAGCCTTTTAACATAGGCAAGTCATGCAAACTCACAGTGCCCAAATTTCCTCATCTGCAGAATGATGAGGAATAGCACCTATTCCACAGTGTTCTTGTTAGGATGAAATGAGATACTGTGTGTAAAGTGCTTGGCATATAATAAGCACTGTGCAAATAGTGGCATTATTATTTGACAGCAGAACAGAGGCCAGACATTTCTTCAGTTTATAATTTAGGACCAAATAGAAATGCTATTAATAAGAAATGTATTGTTTTTATTTTTGATTGCACATGACTGCCGGAGAGCCTCTGTAGCAGAGTGAGTAGCTCCTTAGCAAGAACCAAAATGGAGGGTATGGATGAGGCTCAGATCATCACCATCTGGAGAATAGAGACAGTGCCTGAGTCACCAGGAAATCTGTCCCCTGCTCATCCCAGAATCCCCAATCTTTGACTTTTTAAGGGAACATGTGACAGATAATGCCATCTAGAAGGTAAGAAGATCTGCTAAGTGGTAGAATTGAGATTTCAACCTTTGGCTCTCTGACTGTAAAACATGATTTTTCCCCTCCATAAATAAAGTGTGTTCCCAATGGGACAAGGATCCAATGAATGAGTATGTAGGAAAGAGACTTGTACAGAAGATGCTGTGATAAAGTGGTCTTAGCAAGAATTGGGAGCAGACATGGGAGTGTGGGATGTCATCTGTTGTCTAGGGCAATGACGATGTAGAACAGGGACAATATTTCTTAGTAGTGCTGCCATATGCTTAGATACACCCTAAGCTTTGTTGGTATGAAGTAGTCTGTAAGATGATTGGCTGTTGGTAAAACCACAATCAGTATTGGCCTTTAAATTATACTGTGTTGATATTCAATATTGACTCTGCTGGAGTGTCATATAGATTTGCTTTTTCTTCTCAATACTGTGGCATGACATTGCCTTAAATTCTAATAGATTATTAGTGTTTTAAAAGAGTGTGTCATTTTATATTCATATTAATGAAATTCTGATGTTGTTAAGGATCACACAAGGTTGTCAAGACAAGACAGAATTCATACAATGCGCTTCCTACAATGCTCTTGGCTAAAGGGCTTTCACCACCGGCAGGACCTTGTTACAACAGCCCTACTTTCCTGGATTCCCACAGCCTGGACCCTAAGGGCTGCCACGGAGCCAGGCTCCTGTATGGCATGGGTTTGGGGAAGAAGCCAGACAGGGTTCTTAGCAGGAATATAAATTGTGTGAGGAGTCATAAAAACTAGATAAGGAATGTGTTGTTCAGTAGTTAAAGACGTGCTGGCCTTAGTTTAACTATTTTAAACCCTTAGAAGGATTTGGAAAATGAATTGAGAGCTGGTTTGTTATTTTTGCCCCCATGAGTCTTTCTTTGTTTGTCTTTTTAACAAGCACAACGGCTTTAGAAATCCTGTCTCCAGTGATGTTTACTTCTTTTCTACTTGGGAAACATTCTAAGGCTCACAACGGTACTTGTGGCACCCTAGCACATTTCCCCGCCTCTTATCCCCCATCCCTCCCAATATAAAAAGAAAGAAAAGGAAAAGCTACTGACCGCACCTGAGGCTTTGTCAAAACTCTTTGGCACAATTCAGTGCCTGCAAATGTTACAGGAGGATGTGCAGATAGATGCAAAAGGGCGTTTGTCAAATCAAGAGAACACTATTCAACCGAGACGCATTTCCAGCTCTCTGTTATGTGGTTGCCTTGAGAATAATTATGTACAAGCACTGCTTGGATCTTATGGTGACCTGGCTAGGGGAAGAAGATTCTGGGAATAAACAGCAGCTAAGCAGCAACAGAGCTTGCCGTCTGTTTAAATAGTGCTCTGTAAATGTCTTCAGGTAGCCTGTCTAAACCCTGGAATTTTATTTTCTTCAGGGATGCTAACCACCTCTCTGTGCTACCAAACTGTATAGGAGAAACCTTTGCATTTTATCTTTGAAAAACCTGCTTTTCACTCCTCCCTACATACAACTACCATCACATTTTTCATGATTATCTCAGACTCTTTTAGCATTTGCATGTGGTTAGTTTTCTTTCGTTATTTACTAGCCTTGAATGAATCTGTAGCGTTTTATATTTTATAGATATTATATAAAACACATCATGTTTGTTTCATAAAGATCTTGTTTTTCAACACTGATGACTGTAGATGCATAGTTTTTGCAGCATGCTAAATCTTAATCTCACTTTTGTATTTTCTGGTTAAAATCATCTCTGTAAAACATCAATAAAAGAGAGAAAGCACACTTTTTTTCCAGGTGCTCCCAGGTTGATCTTGTACAGTAGAAAGGTACAAGACTTCACATATATTTATCCAATCTAGAAAAATTTATTACACATCTGATTCTGAGTGAAAATACAGAATTACTATCTTTAACTTTCAGGAAGGAAGGACTATAGTAGCTTTTTTTTTTTTTTTTTTGTGCTAATGGAAAATCTCCATTATTCCATAATTTTTGGAGCCTGTTGCCAAATTTGGTGGAGCATGCATAGAGCTCTGCTTTTATCTTTCGTGGTGCTTGAATCTTCGCTCTCTTTCTTGGCTTTGGAGAAGTGTACAGTTGTTTTTTCCTTCTTCTTTTCTCAGTCCTTCTCTGAAATTCTTGGATGGCTTGTTTGCCTCTGTTCACTGTTTTATGGCTTTAGAGCTCAATTTTATATCTCCTTCCCTGACATCTCTCATGAGCTCCAGTACCTGGTGGAATTTCCACCTTAGACTTGGCCTGTCTAACATTGACTGAGCTCACATCTTCCTCACTCCATCTTTCAGCACATTTGTGCCAAAGTTGTTTGCTGCCTCCTTTAGTCGGGCTCCAGAGGGCTTTACTAAGATTTCTATCATTTATCTTGATTGTGCCTGATTTAAAAAATGATTTAAATAATAAGCTCATCTTACTTTTAATTCTAAATCTTCCTGGATGGGTTTGAATTCAAAGTTTTCTTTTGTTTATTCAAAATCCACTGTCTAAAAATTTTCACTTGTGTTGAAGTTTTATGAAAAACTGAAAAGTATGAACAAATTTTAAAATATATACTTTCTACATGCTTAAAAGGGTCTTAGAGGTCATTTGGTAAAATTACTCATTACATAGATGAATAATTCATTGTAGACTGTGGTGAGTTGGGTTTCTAGGCCCTTGGTGAAGCTTTGCTTTTACTAAATATAATGAGAAAAGTATGGTTGTTAATGAATTACATATTCCACATCTCTATGTACAGTCATGTTTATTTCTTCATTCATAACATTTTGAATCTTCAGACCTATAAGAGGATCATCTTTTGGGAATTATATGCTTTATATTTGCAAAAGTCTATTTCTAAAAGTCTGACCTGAGTTTCACATAACTTGAGTATATTGCTTTCTTTCAGAGAACATTTGTCTTTGGGCCTCATCACACTTGTTTCTTGTGTAGAGACCTGTCACATGGCCAGTCTCAAATCATTAGCCAAGTCCAAGTTTTGCAATAATCAACCCATGAATAATGACACAATAATGGGAATTGAGCAGCAATATAAATTATGTTAGATTTAGCAAACCACATGTTATGAACACATTAAAAAAAGAAATTCCATTCCACTTTTAGAATGACCCTATTATGTGATGAAAAAGGAACTGAAGAGAATGTGGGCACTGCTAACTTCTAGAAGTAAGGAAAGTACACTTAGATATGGGCATAATTTTTGGTGAACTGAAATTCCTGTCCTCAAACTAATAAAATTTGATTCATTTCTCTAAATGATCATCTCTAAATAGATCTATACAATACTAAGTACCTACTGGCTTATATGGCTGTAGTTCCTCATAGTTATTTGAAATGAGCCTGTGGTGATGGTTTGAGGTTAATATAATTATTTTCTTCCACTGCGGGCAAGGTATAAATCCTCCAGGACTTCTGAAATGCCCTTTTATACTCCTTTCAGGAAGGTAAAATGATCACTTTATCAAATCCATGTCCGTAGGAATTGCATTTCTATGTATGCTGTTTGATCTTATTAGATCAAATCATTTTCTATGGATCAACTTGTCTCAGTCTTCATTTCTTTTAAGAGGAAGGAGTTATAAAGACTACGGTGGGGATATTTCACTTGGTTTGCACACTATTGGTAAAGGATAAATGATAAAAGAGGATATAATCATGACTCATACAAATATAAAATAGATACATGTCAACATTTTTATTTCACTCACTAATTAGTGAAGGAACTGGAACAGTTGTTAAAATTGGTTGCTACAAAGGAGAATTTAAACAGCCAACCAATACACAAGCTCATCAGAAAGGCTGATTTAAATTTGCTTAATAGATGCAAAGCTAGCTTCTTCAACAGTGGGAGAGGGAAGTCGATTGAATTTCCGCTGGACAGAGTTTATTTGCATGCCTCTAACCAAGAATTATTTGCATTGCTATCAGTTTTCTGCAGGTTAATGTATACCTCTACAGAATTATAAAATAGCTGAAGACAATGAAAAGCACAAACTTCACAAAATTAGATAACCTTCGGTGTGTTCTAAACAATGCATTGTTTTGCATTAATGACACCCTTAGTCTTTTGGTCTACTTCATTAGCTTTCCCAGTTTTTCCCTACAGATTGCCCTCTTCTTTTGGCTTTAATTTTTTCAATGGTTTTGGGGAAGGTAACACCCAATTTATGTTTCAGAATAATTTTTATTATCTCTGCTTAAACCTTTTGTTCCCTCGTCTTCAAGTCCAGCTTAGGCAACTAGTCATCAGTGTGTCCTCACGAAGAGCATATCCCCAAATTGGAAAATAATCCTTCAGGACATCTGAACATAAGTACATTTGGCTTACTTGGTGAAGAAGTTGTCTGAATAAAATAAGACTACATGGAAGGAGGCGAGTGTTCAACATTTTAAAATGCATTTTAAGAAAAATTAATTTTGGGTCTTTTTGCTTACCATATTTATTTGCTATGTATTTTATTATTATTTTTTGAGACAGGGTCTTGCTCTGTCACTCAGGCTGGAGTGCAGTGGCACAATCATGGCTTACTGCAGCCTCTACCTCCCGGGCTCAAGCAATTCTACCACTTCAGTTTCTTGAGTAGCTGGGGCTACAAGAGTGTGCCACCACACCCAGCTAATTTTTTATTTTTTTGCAGAGATAGGGGTCTCACTATGTTGCCCAAGCTGGACTTGAACTCCTAGGTTCAAGCAATCTTCCTACCTTGACCTCCCAAAGTGTTGGGATTATAGGCATGAACCACCATAGTCACCATACACTGTTATGCATTTTAGAGTAGTTAATACAATTGTGACAAATTACAGTAGGAGGTAAATCAATGAATATTGTAAAACATTAGCAAAAATTCAAGGTCATATGGTCCAAACATCTAAACAATTCTATTGTTACTTCACTAATGAATTAATTCATTTATTCACTAGATCAGAAGCTCGGTAAAGGCAATAACTTCACCTATTTTGTTCCCTATTGCCTCCCCAAAGCCTTGCACAGTGTTGGAGGCATAGTATATTTGTGATACACACTTATCCAGTGAAATTTTAAGAGCAATTTATTAACCACCTACTCTTCATCTGACACTACGATAGGTGCTGGGGGTTAAAAATAAATATATAATATTCATTATGATTAATGTTTTAGAAAAGTTCCTCATCTTTTATTGGATCTTTTCCCTCAAAGGAATTTGTCCTTGATGGGAGAATTTTAGGCATTATGGCAGACTAACTGGAGAACAGTCTGAGTTTTCCCCAAATCACACCATATAGGCAAGTTTCTTTTGAATGTGTGGTTAATATTCTCTCTAGTAGGATCTCCCCAAGCAGTATGCTGGGTGTCATCCACATAGAGACATTGGAGGTTGCTGAGATATAGACCACTGGCTTCAATGGCAGCAGTTCAAGTTCTCCTAGCAACCCTTCACCGTGTTTCTGAGTCTGATCAGAGATTCTTCCTCTTATAGCAGCCTAAGAAGAAGAATCACTATTACCGATTAGTATGTGCCAGAATCTAGGCTAAGCACTTTGTAACTTATATCTCATTTAATCCTTATACCTACCCTGTGGAGTAGGTGAGAAGTTAAGGATTATTATTTCATTAATGAAGCTAGTGAGTGGCAGGGTTAGGACATGATTTGAGGTCTGCCTGAAGTCAAAGGCCATACGCTTTGAACTGTGTAGCCTCAATATCTAGAACTGATGTGATGAGAATATGGCTGAGTCTATGTTGAGTGTTTTTGGGTCTGCATGAGTGGATGTGGGAGAAGCAGGTTTCTTTTTTCTTCATTCATGATGCAATAAAGACAAAATGTGCATTATCCATTTTTGCTCTGCTGTAGACTTCTCTCCATCTAGGCTCCTGTTGAAAAATTACATAGTGACTCTGACAATTGAATCAAGACTTCTATTAAGACCCCAGAGAGGTCAGCCTTTCATACAATGGCATTTCGACCTTCTCTTCCACCCTCAGCCTGAAGAGTTCTGAAATAGCTGCTGTCTGCCCATAAGTCATCCTTCAAACCTTTGTATTTACAGGACAACTTGGTATTTTTCTTCTCTTCATCTTTCAAAATTTCCAATACCCTTAACATTTGATTTTTTCTCTCAGAATTTACTTCTCTGAAAATGTCTACATTTTGGCTTTCTTTAGTTTCGTTTCCAATTTTGAACTCAGTGTGCTCCTCTGAAATCATTTCCCTCCTTCTAATTAACCTGACTCCATTACATACACATTCCCTATTCTTAGCTTCATTGTATCATCTACATAAATTACTAAAGTTATTTCAGCTTTATCTCAGACCTCCTTTAACACCTACTCTTCAGAATTCTTGGTTTCTTGCCATTATCCCTGATTAGCCTCAAATCTCTCTCTCTCTTTTTTTTTTTTTTTGAGACAGAGTCTCTCTCTGTCGCCCAGGCTGGAGTGCAGTGGCACGATCTCTGCTCGCTGCAACCTCTGCCTCCTGAGTTCAAGCGATTCTCCTACCTCGGTCTCCTGAGTAGCTGGGATTACAGGCACATGCCACCATGCCCAGCTAATTTTTGTATTTTTATGGTAGAGACGGGGTTTCAACATGTTGGCCAGGCTGGTCTCGAAATCCACCCGCCTCAGCCTCCCAAAGTGCTGGGATTACAGGCATGAGCCACCACACCCCCAAATTCTTTTGATTGTCTCTTTCTAACATCCCAACTAATGTGAACTGAGAGGAAAAAAAAAGAAAAAAGAATGTGTGGAAAACTAGAATAAATTCTATAAAGATTTACATAGTCATTTAGTTTTTATAAACAGACTCTACTCAACTTTGTTGGTCTAAGTTCTAAAAGGTACCTTTGGGGTAAAAAATAACTACATAGCATATTATAGCAAAATAACTATGTTTTAAGAGTTTAATTTTCAATTTTTATTTGATCTGTGACTATTTCAATGTAATGGTTTATGTATGCTCCTTTTCTTTTAACTTTTTTTTTTTGTAGAAAATTTCAAAAATATACAAAAATAGGATAGAATTAACAGCCATGTAGCTGTCACTTAGTTTTAACTATTTAGAACTCATGACCAATCTCATTCCATCTACTTCCTCCTTCCTCCTGAAGTGTTTGGAAACAAATTCCAGACATCATATCATTTTATATAAGTATTTCAGTATGTATTGCTAAAGGAAAAGCAATACTTTGGGAAAAATCATAACTGCAACTAAACATTTTCTTAAAGATCATCAAGTAATAGCCAATGTTCTAATGTCCTCGTCTTATTTATTTTACAGTTTGTTTGCTTCAATCAAAATCAAGTTCATGAATTGAATGGGTTGTTATATTTTGTGTCTTTTTAATATGTAGACTCTCACTCATCTCTTTATTGCCATCAATTCATTTGTTGAAGAAGTCAAATTATTTGTTTTATGGTGTTTCCAACAGTTTGGATGTTGTTGATTGTATCCCTGTGGTGTGTTAAATGTATTGCTTTAGCATTTATATTTTCTCTAAATTGGTGATCTGATTCAGATCACCTTAACCAGATTCAGGTTTGACTTCTTGGGAAGGTTACTTCACAGGCAGTATTGTGGACTTTCATCAGGAGGTAGCACAATGGCTGGTTATCTCTCTTTTTATGATGTTAGTGACCATTGGTTTTCACATCCTAGATTCACAGAGCAACCAAATAAAGATGATTGAGTGGATGGCTAAAGAAATAAATATGTTCGAATCTGTACTCATCTCATGTCTTTCCCGATGTAAGTATAGAAATTAAGATTATTCAAAGATCATAATAAGTTTTACCTCCTCCAAATAAATATCATTTTCTTCAATAAAGTTTCCAAGGACCTAGATAATTTAGGATTATCTTGTCCAATGAGACCTTGGAATATTTGTGTTTGGAGTCACTGTGGAAGACATATGCACATATTTTAGAAAGCTGAGGAGCAAGCTGGCATTCTCTAGATAAAATTAAAAAACACGGCTAGATGTATACTTTTTTAGGTGAGGGAGGGAAATGATCTGGGCACACACAAAATGAGCTGTTAACAATGATTATCACTGGTGAGAATGAGTGGGGGAGATGGGAAAGTTTGTCATTTTATTTTGTACCTATTGTTTGAACTTTCTCCATGATTATCTAGATGGGATCATGTTCATTTCGATTTTCTTCCTTGTATTTAAATAGTTAAAAATGTAGTAAATGCTAAATAAATGAATGAGTAATTAATTAAATTAGAAAGCTATTTAAGACACTTGTCTGGATGGAGATGCTTCCCATTCTTTTTTTTTTTTTTTTTTTTTGAGATAGAGTCTGACTCTGTCACCCAGGCTGGAGTGCAGTAGCTCGACCTTGGCTCACTGCAAGCTCCACCTCCTGGGTTCACGCCATTCTCCTGCCTCAGCCTCCTGAGTAGCTGGGACTACAGGCGCCGCCACCACATCCGGCTAATTTTTTATATTTTTAGTAGAGACGGGGTTTCACCGTGTTAGCCAGGATGGTCTCGATCTCCTGACTTCCTGATCCACCCGCCTCGGCCTCCCAAAGTGCTGGGACTACAGGCGTGAGCCACTGCGCCCAGCCGATGCTTCCCATTCTTAAGGAACTTACCTGGTTGGAGGAAAAAAACAAAACTAGGACATAGCACTTATGTTTGTCAGCATACTTACTGCACGTATACTAGGCACTGGGGGTGTTACAAGAGAAAAGATCATATTTCTTTTTAAGATTTCCCATAGGACTCTCATCAACTCTACTGTGTAGGAGAAGCGATCAATCATCAGGCCTCTGCCCATGCCCCCGAGCACATCACCTATAGGCTCTGAAAGCCCCAAAATCTCAACTGGCTTCCTGTAAGCCTCTGTACCAGCTGCCTTGCACCCTAACCTAACTTGAAGGCATCCTGCCCCAGGCTGCTTCTCTCCCACTGCAATTCTCCTCTGCACTGCTCTCTTTGCTTTGTACAACTCCGGACTCTCTGGAACCTCTGAACATTGCTTTTTACCTCTTGTTTTAATTAAACCAGCTTCCCCAGTGGCATGACTCTCCTTTTTGATCTCCTTAAGGGACAGGTTGATTTTACTTCTTTGGTAATATTCCCCTTCAGACGCTTGAGGCGCCTTCAAACTATAAACTTATACACGATAATTTTTCTTCTCTCTTAGAAAAAGGATAAATTTATAATGGCTCTGTTAACTAAGGTTTTTAATAAGCTACACCAATATTAATGTGTACCCTTTTCCTGGAAGATATATTTTACTTACAGAAAAGAATGAAATATGCATTTTCAAAATTTTTGTAAGAATTTTCCAGCCCCAAATCATTCTGGTTGGAGGTTTAATGTGGGACCTGACCAGTGAGCCCATTTCAAATAAAGTAGGGAGCTGTGACTCCCCTCACTGCACATAAGAACTTACGTCCCAGGAGAAGAAAGGGGCAAGGACCAGCACAGCTCTTAAAGCTGGTGGAACCCATCCTCAGTACCACTTTCCACAGGGCATTGGGTTAGGAAAAAAGTCTAGATCTGCTCAGACAGCTGAAAAGAAAAAGGAGAAAAAGAAACCTAACAAGCAGAGTGCTAAAATCAATGTGCCCAATGTGAGAAAACAATAAAAGGTGCATCCCTTGTGAATTTATTTAGTTTCCAATAACAGAAAGTTCACCTAAGAGACTGATGTAAGTAGGCATTTATTCTGCTTATGAAACAAAACATCCAGAGGTGAGATTTTTCTGGTATCAGTTCAGTTGCTGAAGTTATCATCAGAGATTACATTGATTTCTCCTCTTTTGTTCTGCTACCTTACTTTGTTGATCATATAAATATACATGTTTGCTGCATCTTTATCACAAGATGTGCCAGATATTTTGTCCACATTGACAGAAAAAAGAGGAAGCACATCCAATCATTCTCAACCTCTCTCTTCAGGAAGACAAAAGTCACCAACTTCCTCAAGCAAATGTTGCTTTATGCCTCATTGGCTCAAGCTGCATTCTCTTGGCACCCTCAGATGTAAGAGAAGCTGGGAGGCCAGGGAGCAGTCATTGTCTCACCTGAGACTGGATGTGTGGCAACATTAGGCAGTGATCTGTTAGCAAGGAACAAGCTGTGAAGCGAGGGTGGCAGGTGGAATTACAGGTAGGCAACTATGAAAGACGGCAGAATCTGTTTGATACCTAGGCCTTTTGGAATCCTGGAGTGTCTGTCCTCACTACTTGTTTTAAAAAATCTCAAACAAAGCTCAGACTGGAGTATGAAGTCACTGATTTTCACACGTGCCTGAGATTATTTGACACTGAGGATTTTGGGGATATGTGAAAAGCAAATCCTAGGTCCAAATAAACTCCCTTGTGTTGAGCTGGGAGGTGCCTTTTCCTGGGAACTGTGGAGACAGATGATCCTAGGTCCAAATAAACTCCCTTGTGTTGAGTTGGGAGGTGCCTTTTCTTGGGAACTGTGGAGAAAGATGATGTAGTGAGTTAGAGTTTATTTTTTTCTCTTTTTGGCACTGTCTATCCCAAATGCCTGTCTCTTCTTTTCATGGGAATATGGTAGGAAAAGTAACTCACTCATATCTTATCAATTATAACTATAAACTTTATTTTTTATATATGTGAGTTAATTTTTCTATTTTTGTCTGTGATTCTGAAGAAAAACCTGTGATCTTGGAATCTTTTACTTTATGCAAACATAAAAGAGGCTAATTTAGCTACAGTTGTGTTTATAGAGATCAAGGGTAAAAATGGTTTTGTGGAAAAAATGACTCATAAACATAATTTAAAAAACTCAATTGATAACATAAAGTACCTAAGTTTAAAACATAAAGTTATCTTTTAAAGATTCTAATTGAAAGACAAATGGGTGCTAGCTAGTCCAGGAAAAGATGAAGAAGCTTGTTTGAAAGATTAGGTGGTTGTAATCTTTATTATTTCCAAGATGCATTTCCACTGAGTGGGCTAAAAAATCCTATTATGAGTTCCATCCTCTGTATCAGAACATTTTAAAAGAAACCTGCCAAGATGAGGGGAAATTCCCTTTTATTTGCCAGGATCTAATTAATGAATTGGGGGTTTTGGAAAGCAGTGAAACATGCATTCACAGCTCTAAGAGATAGCAATCAGTTAAAAGATTTGTTTTCCATCCAAATTCTTCCATAAGTTTGGAGCTAATATGATACAGTCTTCTAAAATCTAGATCATTGACAGTTAGGATGTCCAATCACAGCTGTTTTTATTTGAAATATTGAAATGTGTAGGAGTTTCTTTATGAAATATTTGAAGCAGTAAGCGTACATATATTTTCTTGACTTAAATAATAAAAAATTTCTAGAACATTATATAAGTTAATTTCTATTCCTTGTTTTGAGTCAAATAAGTTATGTCTTGGGATAAAACAGGGCCTTGGTTGGAAGCTAGGCTTGCTTTTTTTTTTTTTTTTTTTTTTTCTTGAGATGGAGTCTCCCTTTGTTGCCCAGGCTGGAGTGCAGTGGCACGATCTTGGCTCACTGCAACCTCTGCCTCCTGGGTTCAAGCGATTCTCCTGCTTCAGCCTCCCTGAGTAGCTGGGACTACAGGCACATGCCACCATGCCCAGTTAATTTTTTTTTTTTTTTTTTGGATTTTTAGTGGAGACGAGGTTTCATCATGTTGGCCAAGCCGGTCTTGAAGTCTTGACCTCAGGTGATCCCCCTACCTTGGCCTCCCAAAGTGCTGGGATTACAGGTGTGAGCCACCACTCCTGGCCAGGCTTGCTCATCCTTATTGCACATTTCTCTGCACACCCATATGCCTACACCCAAGTGAAAAACCCATGCCCTTGAGAGACTTGTGACTCTGGCATATTCTCTACGTCTCTGCATTGTTGTCATCCTTGAACACTCAGATGCCATTTGTTGAAGTCTTCAGCAATAAACTCACAGATGTCATGTCCATGTCCTGTCCTGTCATAATCCTAGCTCCAACTCTCTGACCATTCAGTCCTAGAATGCAAATGACTTTGACCTACCTCTGCCTCATGTCTGTCAGTGTTCAGTCCACTTCAGTCCACACATGCTTTACAACACTTTGAGACTTTTAGGTTCCCCTCACTCTGAAATCCTCTCTTGGCACCTGTGGCACTTTCTAGCTTTTTTCCTGTTCTCTGGATGGGTCTTCTTAGTCTTTTTTAAAGCTCCTAATTCTCCATGCCTCCCTTGAATCTTGTTTCTCAGGCTTCAGTCCGTGTGTTTTCCTTAGGCCAGCTCATCCTTCCCATGGCTTCAATTAGCACCTGATGAAAACAAAAATCTACAGCTGCAGTTCAGTACTCATCCTTGAACTCTAGGACCCTATCAAACTTCATCCTGGGTCTCTCAATTTGAAAGTCTAATCTCAAACTCCCCATGTACCTCCTGCACTCATTGCCTTCACCTTCCACACCACCATTTCGCCATTGACCATTTTACAGCTCTGGCTCCTGTTTTCCATGTCTCAGTGTTGGCATCTGGTTGCCCAAGCTATAAATCCAGACGTTTTCTTTCACCCTTTCCTTTCCTCCTCATTTCCTGTATAAAAAATCAATCTGGTCCTATGAATTCTCCTTTTAAAATGTATCCATAACAGCTCTCAAATGTGCTTATTGCTTTCTGTTCTTGCATTACGCATTTATAGGTGACTACTTCAATAGTTCTTGCTGCTTTCATCTTCCCTTTTTCTACTCCAAAAAGTAACTATAGCAATTAGTTTACTCCCTTTTGATAGTGCCCCAATTTTTTCTTTCTT